AATATATAGTAATTGTGACAATATTACACCCATTGGTCCAGCCGGTGGCCAGTCTATATCTTCAAGCAATATTGGTACTATTGGTTTATTTAGTAAATTTGCTAGACTCATCTATCAATAAAAAAAACAATAATAAAAGTATATCGTTACTAAGGTAATGCATAATGAGTTTAGCCAGCATAGGTCCAGGCACTCAACGACGGTAAATATATTTCCAGCTATAATTATAGACATTTATAATATAATCAGTTATCAACTGTACAAACAAACGTTTGCGTGGTGTGTATAGCATGTCACACATTTAGGTAGATAAGTTTTCATTATTATGCGTTTTAACGCTGTCCAGATAAACTAATGGAACAGGAACATGATGGAAAAACGTTTTAATAAGGAGAAAGTAAATACCTCATGATTGCAGTTTTTAGAATGTGAATACTTCTCAGAACACATTGATAAAACTATTTTAGCTCCTCTTAGTCCTTCATCAATTTTCTCATAAAGTTTATCGCCTCCGCCCATTTGTCCAATATCCATCCAACATTCATATCCAGCCATCTCTAAATGTTCTTTTAATGTTTTCACCTCTGATTGGTGGTCCCATTGGTAACTTATGAACACGGGAGGATGCGTTAAGTCGGATGGCTTTTCTAAAACCGTCTCTCCTAGATTGGAAAAATATGGAATGTCAAATGTTTTGCCAGAGCTTCACCTAATGATATGATAGATAAATTCTGCACATAAGATTCATTAGCGGCCACTACTCAAAACAGACCAATGTTTCAAGTACTAGTATATTGTTCGTATAGGAACCATTTAGTTCACAAATAGCAATCCTCTGCGCACTCTGCTAACGTACCAGAAGCATTGAGAGCGTCCTCAATGATATTAACGCATTCACTTCTGCCTAGCTCTTTCAATGACGTCATCACAGCAAACGTTGCTTCCCTATACTTGTGTGTTGAGTACCACTCACTGGATTGAAAAAAAAATCAGATTGAAAATTGATTATTTTTATTATTTTTTTTTTTAATCTTTTAAATCTTTCGTTATTCTATGAAAATTTTCACCAATTGCTTAAAGGGCATCAAGGAACGTGTGTTTATATTCTAATCACTTGTTGCCAAATGAAAATTATATTTTCTTTTATAACTAGCTAGGACACATCATTTACTGTTTGTTTAATATTAGGTAATATGGTCACAAACTATTAGCCGAGATGCGTAATATGCGTGTTTGATCTATTTTGTATCAGTTTTTGAAATAATTGGTTAATAAATTGCCTTAGTAACGACATAGTTGGATTCTGCGCCGTAGCCAACTGCCGAATGTCTTCTGATAGATAACCAAGTCGTATTGCCAGAAAACGCCAATCACGGCCATCTTCGACATTGAGAAGAGTTGATACATCGACTGACCAGGATGGAGCATTGCTGACTGTCTGAATAGAATGAGATTAAAGGAAAAAAATGAGCGATAAATCATCAGTTTCTGCAATTAAAACAACTTTGTGACTACCATTGTACACTACTTTTAATTTAGTCTAATTTTAATCGTAATCACAGTTTTTGCGCAGGAACGACCTTCCTTAACGACATGGTATCTTTTATACACGCCTCACCTTTTGGTCAACTTCTTCTACTTTCTGAATGGTGTCGTCTACCTTATCTTCAAGTTCATTAAATCGTTTCTCATGTGCGGCAATATCTCCTATGGCGTCCACAGTTGCATTTGCTGTTGACTCAGCTGTTATATTTAATTCAGAAATGTGTTCTTGTGTCACAGTGACACGGTCGTCAAGTTCATCGACGTCGCCTTTTACATAGACCACTTGCTCAGTAACTGTTTTCAAGCTATTGTAGAGTTCAAATTGTAAATTGTTTTTAATTTCTGCTTTTATTGCTTAAAACAAAATATTGTGCATGTGAATGTCAATAAATTGTCCCTCACCATCATAACTAAAATATATACAGTAAGGTGTATGAGTGGAAGCTATAATATACAGACTGACTGACTGACTGAACTCACCGAACATTTCGACATGACCCTACCACCTGAACTGACAGTCTGATTGACATCTAATGCATTTGTCACTTCATAGACATAGAAATGAGAGTTTACATACCTTCTACCCTCCATTAAATCAATAGATTCCTTTACGACTTCTGGGGCACTTTCCTTGAAAGATATAATTAGTTCTTTATGTTCCCTAAGTATGTGTATGTACGTTGTCCCAATTTCTTTCATTGATGCCAGAATGTGCTTGTAGTTTGGGGCATTTCTCGAATCGTTCAACTGCCCTACAAGTAATGTCATCATGCGTCTTGCTGAAGCCTGGAAATAAAAAAGATCTACAACTGTGACAATGCGTCATGAAAAGA